CCTTCTTGAGGCCCAGTTGACAGGCTTCTCTCTTATCTTAAATCAGGTGGGCCCTCACCCCTCCAGAGCAGCCCAGGCCCCCTTACTCTTCCATGATTCTCACTGGGGCCTGGAGCTTTCATTGGTGGCAGGGGCCCTGGAGGCTTGTTGGATCTGAGCTGCACGAATTGCTAGCTGCAGAGGCTGAGCCACTTAGAACTGGCTGTTACATGTGAGAGCAACACAAAAGGAAATGGGTCCTTCCAGCAGGGTCCTTCCAGTATAGTCAGGTAGGGGGAGTGACAGAGGCCAAACCTGGCTATGGGTTAGCAAGTGTAAGCATCGCTGAGCATTAGCTGGAGCATTAATTAATAGGGGATACCAGGAGTTACTGGCTATAAGCATGTGTACATTTTTCTCTAAACTATGACTTCTACCCTCTTCTTACATCTTCCTCCAGAATGTGTTCACTCGTGATTGAGAAATTGTTTCCTGCTCCTAGAAAACCAAGCCTGGGGGTGTCATTTCATAACAACCAAAATGTCTTTTATTCTCCCTATGCTATAGTCAAGTTCCCTACATCATAAGGTGTGGGACCCAAGTCTTTATGGGGCTGGGTCCTCATACCAAAGAAGACCAGGAGGAAAAGACTGTGTGTACCAGGTACCACCAGCATGCCCCTGCAGAGGCAATTTTCTGTCATAGCCCATGGTCAGCAAGAGTGGCAGCTGCACAGGGTGAGCAGAGGCAGGGTGGAGCAAGTGGGCACTCCAGGGTGACAAGCCACCACTTCCCCCAGGACAACTGAAGCTTCACTCTGTCTCCCCAGATGGTTCCGCTCAGTCAATAGAGAACTTAATTCCTCTGCCTTTCTGACTCTCCTTTGGGGAAATTGCAGAGGAAAGGTTCAGCCGGGCATGAAAACCAAGTCTTTCGTGGTTGCCTGTACCTGTTCCACCACCTCTCTCTTAGCTTCAGACCATAGACCGTGGGTGACTGGGGGCTGATGGTGAACAGCCCTGCTTGCAAGAGCCATAGGCTCCTTCCTACAGCTGTGAGAATGGGCTGGCTGCCCATCCCTGCCAGGATGCCGGCTCTTCGAGGGTTGAGATTTCTATCTGTCTGGCTCACTGTTGAATCTCCAAAACCTGGCAGATTGCTTGGAGCATTATAAAGGCACAATAAATACTCCATGTTTGAATGAATATTGATAAAAGTAAAATTCATCAAGTAGATTTAATGGCTATGAATTTTTAGACATTAAATCAAGTAATACTGAAATACATCAAAAGCTATTTAAAATAGAAGAATGTGACAAATAATAAACGCAGATAAATGTTAAACATGGGCAGGAGGATAAAATATCCTCTTAGAGAAATTGATGGATTGAGTAGACAAAATATAAATGAGGATATAGAATGCTGAATAATAAAAATTGTAAGCTTAATTTAATATGCTGATGGAACATTTATAAAAACTAAGCAAATACTAGGCCAAAAAGCAGGATACATTATTCTTTTTTGTAGATAGCACATTCTTTATAGGAGTAATTTTAGGATTAAAAGAATTACTAGGTGAACAACTATAACAGATACCAGAAATAATACCTAATAAATATATAGTAATGTTGGTGATGTTACTATGTAATTGTAATGCATGAAAAATATCTCAAAACTCAGAGAAAACCATATTTTTATGTGTTCAGATGAGAAATATAAACCAGGATTGTCCAGAGTATATTCTTTCTAAAACAAAAATTAAGACAGTGTTTTTAAAAAATAATCTCTGGTTTCTTTTTTTTTTTCCCCTGGTTGTTTAGGTTCCCCAAAATTCAAATTTCATGTTTACACAAATACACAGAGGAGATTTTCTTTGGGGAAAAAAAAGACCTATTACTTATGTCTTCACTATTAATTTTCTTTTTTTCATTCCTTTTCTTCCCACCATCATCCCTAATATCCCTTTGGCCCTTCCTCCTTCCCTTCTTTCTCTTAACCTTAGAAACCTCAGTTCAGTTATTAATGTCCACTAGTTCATAACTATTTTGCTTTGTCAGTTCATCTGCTATGTTTCCTTGAAGTGCTCCTATATGTGAAAGTGTCCAGGATTTGTCTTTATCTTTCTGGCTTACTTCGTTTCTCCTAACCCCCTCAATTTCCTTCCATTTTCTATAAATGGTAATATTTCATCTTTTCTTATAGTCAAATAGTATTCCAGTGTGTGGATATACCACATCTTCTTTATCCAGTCCACTATAGGTGGGCACTTAGGTTGTTTCCCTGTCCTAACTATTGTAAATAAAGATGCAATGAACATTAGGGAGCATATAATTTTTTGAGTTGGTGATTCTGTATTCTTTGGATTGATACCAAAAAAATAGTATTGCTGGATCACATAGTATTCCCATTTTTAGTTTTTTTAGGATGAGTCCAGACCACTTTCCAAAATGGTTTCACCACTTTATTCGGCCTTTTTTTCCACATCTGAGTTGGAGGTCTTATGGATGTGTGCCATTCTCACACACGTGAGATGATATCTCTTTATGGTTTTGATGTGCATTCCCCTATTAAAAGTGATGATGAGCATTTTTTCATATATCTGTTGGTCTTCTGTATCGCCTCTTTGGAAAATGTCAATTCAGATCTGCTGCCCATTTTTTAAAAGAATTATTTATTATGCGTACAAGAACTGGGGTACAGGCCAAAAGTGTGGGTGGGGAGGCAGTGAGAGGATTCACCAGAGGCAGAGTGGGGAACAGAACAGGCAGATCTACTGAAATATGCTGCTGAGGGGAATGGCGGGCAAGACAGGAGAGGTCTGCTGCACCACATGGGATCCCACCACATGGGATCCCTGGCCGGCCAGGGATCAAATTCGTGTGCAGAGGCTATGGATAGCTTCACAGTGCTGTGCTTAACCCCTTGTGCCACCAGGAAGGTCCTGCTACCCATTTTTTAATTGAGTTGCTTTTATGATCGTTTAGTTGGACTAGTTCTTTGTATACCTTGGCTATTAACTCTTTGTTGGGTATGTGATGTGTAACTATCTTCTCCCATTCATTAGGATGTCTTTTTTCATCTGCTAATATTTTCTTTCACTGTGTAAACACATGTTAGTTTGAGGTAGTTCTAATTGTTTATTTTTGCTTTCATTTCCCTTGCAGTAGGGGTCAAGTCCCCAAAGACATCTCTATTATTGACGTCACATATCATGTCACCAATGCTTTCTTCTATGTATTTTATTGCAGCAGATCTTATAGCTAAGCTTTTCATCTATTTTCAATTTGTTTCATACGCAGAGGTAGATAGTAATCCAGTTCCATCCTTTGACATGGGGTCTCCAGTTTTCCACGTATCATTTGTTAAAGAGACTCACATTCCTCCACGTATGGTCACGGCTCTTTCATCATCAAATAAATATTCATATGTGCAGAGATTTATTTCTAGGCTTTGGATTTTGTTCCACTGAGCCAGTACCATTTTATTCCAGGACCATTTTTAATTACTGTTATCTTTCCATGTAAGTTAAAATTAGGAACATGATACCTCCATATTACTTGTTTTTTTCCCAGACTTGCTTTAGTTACTCAGAGTACTTTATGGCACTATATAAACTTTAATATTTTGGGTTTTGGGTTTTTTTCCTATAAGATTTGTTTACTTATGCATACAAGAGCTGGGGTACAGGCCAGAGATGTGGGGGGTGAGAGGATCCACTAGAGACAGAGTGGGGAACAGAACAGTCAGGCAGACTGACTGAAATACACTGCTGAGGGGAGCAGCAGGCAAGACAGGAGAGGTCTGCTACACCAAGTGTGTTTCTCCCTGGCCAGCCGGGAATCAAACTCATGCTGCAGAGGCTGTGGACAGCTTCACAGTGCAGTGCTTAACCCCTTGCGCCACCAGGGAGGCCCAGTATTTTGGGTTTTATTTAGAACATATTATTTAAGAAATTATTCCCAAAATAAATAAATAAATAATATAACTATCTCCTGATGATACAAAGCTAAGAGGCCCTTAACCCTTAAAACTACAGACTAGGGCCTCCCCTGGTGGCGCAGCGGTTGAACGCTGGGCTGTGAGGCTGCCCGCAGCCTCTGCAGCGCCAGTTCGTTCCCCGGCCACCTGCGAGGGTCCCACAAAAAAACAAAACAAAACAAAACTACAGACTAAAGTTCTATCAGCCAAAAGTCTAACAATAAAAGAGATTTCCACTCCAGACCAAACCCTCGCTGCAAGCAACTAGAAAGCTGGAGAGAATACATGAAACACTTGTTTTCAGACGCGGGACTCTTGGTGGGGCAAAACTGGTCTGTCCTGCTGCCTCTTTCTGATGAGAGACCTGAGGAGCCCACAAGTCCCGGGGTTCTCTCCTTGAGGATCTTTCCAGTTCACAGTGCAGAAAAAAGTGTCCCACACCAGACATGATTGTCTCACTAAACTGGGGAGAGAAAGATGGAAGTTTGGGGAGACTGAGAATGTAAGAATTTGGGGGCTGAGTGTGAAGGGAAGTTATGCAAAGAAAGCCTCAGAAATCTGCCTGGAACTCCCCGTGCACACAGGATGCACTCCCCAGGGCAGGGTGGAGAGCAGCTCTAGAAATTCTCATTTTAAGCTGAGCTGGCAGAAAGCTAGATCCCTGGCAGGGCAGATGGGGTCACAAAAAGAGGCTGAAGCCAGATACACGATTCTGAATTAACAGGCTGAAGATAAGGGCAGCCTCTGAGAGAAATAAGGCTTTGGAGTGGCTTAAAGGGCTGGAAATTTCTATCTCTAGCCCCATCTGCAACAAGGAAATGAAGGGAGCTCCTGGGATGTCTTTGACTTCCTGGGACTTTGTAAGCCCAGCAAAATCCCCACAGTTTGTGTTAAACGTCTGCTGGTTTTCAACAAACTAAACACTCCTATCTGGAAAGTCCTTAAACAAAGATATGCAGGGCAGAGGGGCACTGAGGAAGTAGAAGCAGTAGAGAAGAGAGTGTGGTGGCTGTCACGAACACAAATACAAAGCTGTGGTTCATTCAACGAGTGTTTATTGAGACCCCATATCTGACAGGCCTGTGCTGGTCACTGAAGGGGAAACAGAGGCATGGCAAGGCTCTTGCCTTGAGAAGGCCTTGACAGTGCTGGTTCACGTGAGGCAAACACATTTGAAGAGTTTTTAAAAAGGACAGGGCAGGGGATATACAAGGCCAGAAGAAGGGCACCAGAGAACAAGTTGAGTTCAGAGACCTCAAAGGTATAGGGTGGAGAAGGGCCCACAGCTGGCTGAGGGGGTGACCTCTCAGCTCTGGCTTGCCATGTCCTACCCACGGGGCTTCTTGCAGATCCAGTGAAAGAGGGCGTCACAGTCAATGTCGTTCCATTTCTGCTGCATTTGGACACAGTCTTCAGTCCTCCCATGTGCATTTTTCCAGTTGTCTGGCTGACCTTTGCCCCAAAACCTGGAAACAAGAGGGCTTTATTCTACTAGATGAAGTAAGCATCCTTTCCTCTGCTGTGGCATAAAGAGCTGAAGTGACACGGATCCCTAGTCCCCTGCAGGTCACCAGATGGGGCAGAGCTAGGGCCAGGGGTATCCAGAAATGCCTATAGAGAAAAGGCAGTGCTGTGTGACCCTGTGTGAGGAGCTGGCTCTCCCACGCTCACGGGAGACGTCCAGGCCGTTCCCTTGTTGGTTCTGGGGCAAGAAGCCCCCACCCCTGCAGGACCTGGGGCCCCTTCCTGCACCTTCCATGGCTTGTAAAAGATCCTGAGGATGGCTCTTTGAGGTTGTCCTTAGTTACTAGGCATCAGGGATAGGAAGGACATCTGAAGCTACAAGATCCCACCCTAGAATTCACATTCAGATGCCTTCTGACAAGGCAGTAACCCTTGAGACATGGATAAGTAGGTATAAGATGGCCAAAACAAAAACAAAAACCAGCAACAACGAAAGACCCAAGAACACCCATTTGTAGGTTGCTTGCCAGTCCCAGGACCTGTCTGTTCTCACTCCCTGCCCTGGGGGTGAAGGAGAGGTGGGAGGGAAGGAGAATTAGAATTATGCCCAAGTACAGACACACACACACACACACACACCACTAACACTTCCTGGGCAAGGATAGACACACAGGATAAGGACATACAAGAGTATCTAGCCAGGTCTGCCCAAGACAGTGCCTGGGACAGTCACCAGACAGTGACTGGACTCACACTCTACTCTGAGCATTATTGAATGGTGTCCCATCTGCCCAGCGCCAGGAGCCCTCCGTCCCGCTGTCGGTGAGACCAATCCAGTGGTAAGAGGTTTTTGTGAACTTTTCCAGAAATGCCTATAGAGAAAAGGCAGTGCTGTGTGACCCTGTGTAAGGAGCTGGCTCCCCAACACACCCACGGGAGATGTCCAGGCCGTTCCCTTGCTGGTCCTGGGCCAAGAAGCCCCCGCTCCTGCAGGACCTGGGTCCCCTTCCTGCTCCTTCCATGGCCTTGTGAAGGATCTAGAGCACAAGTCAGGGCCCCTCAAGGGAAGTCCAGCTTTCCCCTTGTTGACTTCACGAGGAGTGTGATTTTACTAAGATGGAGCAGAACAATTTATTAAGATGTGCCTTACAAAATATCATGTCCTTAGCGGATGCTTGAGGACAGGCCAAGGAGAATTATAAGGGTAAGGCAGTTCTGCGAGTGGGACTGGACCAACCCTACTATGGTCCTTCATCGGTAATCCCAGTAAATTCTGCTAGGGCAGAATGACCCACTGGGGATTGTGGTGCCTTTGGCGGTCCCCAAACTAATGTGTGTGTCTGGCCTTCCCAAGAAGCCTGCGTCTCCTGCTCATGGGCACTGCATAGCACTGGATGAACTGACATTAAAATCAAGATTGACAGCTGGAGAGGAAGTGTGAGAGGAAAACGAGGGGCTGGGGAGGGCAGCATGTGCTCAGCAAGCTAAGGGCAGTCCCCTGGTACCACCTCCCTTTGCCCTTCCTACTGCTGACATCTGTGGGCCTCTGGATGTCTGCCACATTTATTGAGGACATTGGGATTTTCTGTCAGTGCTCTACTTCCAGCATAAGATGCTCATTAGAACTCAATAAATATTTGCTCCCTGACTGACAGAGGAGGCATGGAGTTCTCTGCCACTCCCTTTGGGAGAAGAGAAGGTTCATGCACCACAGTCCCGTGTTTCACACCAACCTCATTGGTACCACCCAACCCCATAGCACTGACCTGTTCCTCCACAGAAGTCACCGAAGTCAGGTGGGCTCCCTTGGACACACAGAACTGTTCAGCCTCCTGCCAAGACTTCTTGATATGAGAAAAATAATACAGGTTCCCATCATAGATATTCCAGCCTTGCAGGATCAGCTCAAGAAGTTGACCTGGAGCAAGGGTTGGGGAGGAGAGAGAACCAGGGTGCTGTGTGGGACCCAGAGCTGGCCTTCTTGACCTCCCCAGAGAGTGGCCACTGAGGGTCACAGGCCTTGTGCTACTTGATGCCCAGTAGAAGCACAGAGATTTCTTTTAAAATTGTCTGATAGCAAGTCTGAGTCCCAGACCAAGAGAGAAAATAAGAGAAAGAAGAGTCTGGAGGTCCATCCCAGACAGCAGTATTTTTAATGCTCCTGAGTGATTCCAATGTGCCCCTAAGATGGGGAAACAATGGAGGGATTAGGACAGTAGGGGAACCCACAAGAAGTGCTAAGAAGGGAGACTTCAGTCTCTGACAACAGGACAACAGAGACGGGCAGTGGGATGCCGCAAGCAGGTGCACGGAGCCCCCTTTTTGTCAACCCCTTCTCTTCAGCAGCTTCTTCTAACGGTGCCCCCTCTCCAAGTTCCCTGTGCCCTCTCTCACCCTTAAAAAGTGACCTCCTACTCTACCAAGAAAGATGCCACTAAACATCATCTCCCTCAGTTCCATGTTCCCACATCTGCAGCCCTAGGGGAGACCCCTACTTCCAGCTCCTCCTCTCCCAGCCTCAGAGGGTCCAGTAAGTCCCAACCCTTCCAGGCCGACCCCTCATTCTGTTCTCTACTCTCTCTGACCCTCTCCTTCAACCTCCTTCCTCTCTCCTCGCACCTCTCTCACCCTTAGATGAAGCCTACTCTTAATCTAGAAAAATCCTCTCAAGAGAGTTGACCAAAATGTTAGCAATGAGCTCATACAGAAAACACAGACCTCTTCATGAGATACAGGGGTGACGTCCTCATCTTTCCCTTTTACAGTATTCGCCATGTTGTCTTTAATGAATATGTAGGTCTTATCCTATAAATATCAGTGATACACATTGCCTTCTAATCGCTCCTTCTACCCTGCCTCCCCGGCACCTCAGTCTCTTCTCTCTCCTCCCCTGTCAGGCAACCTTCACGACTGACTCGAGACCAGACCTCTCACTCACACCCCACTGACCCTGGTCTGGCTTCCACACCACACACAACTGGCCCCTGGAATTTTATTCCACTGACTTACTAATTACCATTTTATTGCAATTGGCCATTTTAACTGGTCTCTCCTAGACCTTTGCCAGAACTAACCACTCCCCTCTCTCCCTCGATTTCCCCAACTGCTCATCTCCTTCTTCTCCTCCCGCCTCCAATAATGTTCTCCAGTTTCCTTCAAAATCTCTTTTTGCTGGGCCCTACTTGGTGGCGCAAGCACCTATGAAGCTATTCTCAGCCTCTGCAGCATGAGTTCAATCCCCGGCCAGGGAGCTACTCACATGACACAGCAGACCTCTCCTGACTCTCCTGCTGCTCCCCAGCAGTGTATTTCAGTCAATTTGCCTGTTCTGTTCCCCACCATTTCTGGTGAATCCTCTTACCCCTGCACCTCTGGCCAGTACCCCAGTGCTTGTATGCATAAATAAATAAATCTTTTTTAAAAAATTTTCTTCTTGGGGCCTCCCTGGTGGCGCAAGGAATTAAGACGCAACCTATGAAGCTGTCCACAGCCTCTGCAGCTCAAGTTCGATCCCCGGCCAAGGAACTACCCACGTGGTGCAGCAGACCTCTCCTGGCTCACTTGCTGCTCCCCTCAGCAGTGTACTTTGCCTGTTCTGCTCCCCACAGTGTAATCTGCCTGTTCTGCTCCCCACTCTTTCTCTGGTGAATCCTCTCACCCTCCCCACACCTCTGGCCTGTACCCCAGTTCTTGTATACATAGATAGATAAATCTTTGGGGGAAAAAAATCTCTTCTTGCCCTACCAGAAGGTTAACTTCTGGTTCCCACCCCCAGCCTTCTTCTCAGTATGAGTTTTATCTCGAGTAAACTTCCCACCCCGCTTCCATTGCCACAACCAGAACCAGCACCCACATCTATGTCTGCATAGCAGGGCCCAGTCCCACATGCCAGAAGACGTGCAACATGTCCACTTAAATGTCCCCAAGCCACCTCAGACTCTGCACCTCCACATCCTGTCTTTCTCCCTTGCTCAGCCACAGGGGGCCACCTGGTCAGTTCCTTGAAGGGAGAAACTGATCTCGGGGGTCTGCCAAGTCCAGCCTGTGTCTCTTAACTAAGAGACAGTGCTGCCTGTCTCTCTAGTAGAGACTTCTTCGAACTATCATCCTCAGCCCATTTGTGGGGTGCGTCAAGGGTTTGCTGTTGTCATCGTTAAAGAATAGATTATATCAGAGTGAACACCTGCAGGAAGAATTTTCCTTTTTAATGTGTGTGTGTGTCACATGATATTCTGTGCTGGATTGCAATGAAAAATGGATTTCATTTACTGTGCTTACATTCAAAATAGTTTGAAAGCTACTGCCCTGGGCCCTTCCTACTGTCCTTTCATCCTATTCCTCATCAATCTCCCTCTGGGCCATCGTCCAGTCAGACAGAACTTCTGGAGTTCCCAGAACCTCATGGGCTCACATGCCCAGGCCTGGGAACCTGGTACCCTTTTACATGATTTGCTTGACAAACGTCCATTCGAACTTCAGGACTCAGATCAAGGAACAGTTTCTCAACAAAGCATGTTTTGATCCTTTCGCCACCCTCCTAAACTTTCTGCCCCTTCCTCATCAAAGATCCCGACTTTCCTTCTTTTGGTTTCTTTCACCCCCAGCAACTAGGTCAGTTCCTAAGGCAGCACCTGTTAGGCCTTTCATGCCGGGTTGCTGTACCAGCCTATGGGTTTCAAAGGTAAATATCACATCTTGTTTATCTTTATGCCCTTGACACAGAATTAGGCCTCAATAAAATTTTGTTAGATGAATACATAAATACTGAGTACTTTGTCAAAATGCATTATGTGTTAACTCTTTGATCCTTGTCCCCACGTTGCAGATGAAAAAAAGTGAAGCTCAGAGAAGGAGAGCAACCTGATTGAAATCACACATCTGTGCTAACGGGAAGTCAGAAATAAAGCTATCTGGCCCCATTAGCACACACCGTTCTTATTACACATTAAACCATACATAGGTTGTTTCCCAACTGTTCATTTGTCACTCTGGCCAGATAATAAGCAACTTCACAGCAGGCACCCCGCGGCCCTGCCCGCCACCACTCCAGAGACACAGGAGCCTCACTGGTAGGATTTGGCCCCTTGCGGTGCCCACCCTCCTTTCCAAAGGGAGACAAAAAGACCTAAGGGACAAGAGACTCTGACTTCCCAAGAGACAGCACCTCCCCAGCCCAAGCCCCTCCCTCTCACTTACTTTGTGTCCTCTGCAGCTGCTCCTGAGAAGCAAAGGAAGCTTGGAGAGTCTCCAGGCGACTCTGCGTCTCCTGGATTTTCCTAGTTAGAGTTTTAGTGCTCTCTAAACTCCCATTTAACCTTCGGATCTCAGCATTGGCCTTCTGCAGATTGCTCTCCAACATCCCTGTTTTGGAATTTAAGGTCTCAGTATTCTTCATTCCTTGTTTTAGGGTCTGTATCTCTCTATTTGCATTTTTCAACTGACCAGATAACACCTGTATCTGGGAATTTGAGGTATTCATGTCTTTCAGCTCTGTTTTCAATGCATGGATCTGAGCATCTACCTGGTCTAGGCGGCTGTTTACTACTTGGGTCTGGCTAGTGGCTAAAGTTTCCAAATCACCTTTTGACAAGTGACTCTTATTATAAGCCCTTTCTAAATGATCTCTTAATAACTGGATCTCAGTGCTGGTGTTTTCAGAACTGCTTCTTAGGAAACTCTGAGTCTGGGAATTTAAAGCATTTGCCTTTTCCACATCTCCCTTTAGTTTCTGGATCTCAATATTGGCCCCTTCCAAGGAACTCCTTAGCATCTGGGTCTGGATTCCCAAGGTATTGGCATTCTTTAGAATGCTTTTTGCCATCTGGACATCAGCACTGGTGTTTTCCAGATGACCACTGAGCATCTGAATATGAGAACTGATATTGTCCACTCTGCCCATCAACATCTGGATCTCCATGCTCCAGGTGCTGGAATTCTCCACATGGCAATTAAACATCTGGATAGTATCTTGCAAGTCTGGAGGGAGGAAATGGAGAGGGCAACCAAATTACACAGGGGAGCATTCACTGGATGAGCCATTGAGAGTGTTCTTAAGAGTCCCAGAGGAAATGTCACCAGCACAGCCCTGATTTCTCTGCAAGTAGCTTGCTGGTCACTGCAGCCAGTCAGACCCTGGACAACGGTCACCAGAGAATGTGAGTCAGAAAAAAAATAAAGGAAGACCTATTTATTTATCCCACATGAACTAAGAGTTCAGAGGATCCAAATACTTGACTACTGTAAACTAGCTACCACCAAGGGTCATGCTGGTACCATCAGGATTAGTTTACCATTTTTTTTCCTTACTTTTTTAAATTTTTGTATAATACTTGATTTCTCTGTGCATGTGGTCCCTATACATCTCCCGCCAAATCACCCATGAACCTGAACGAACCATCACCATAGTCCTGTGTGCTCTTCCATATTTTGACCCATGTCCCTCCCCCTCCCCTGCTATATACATCAGATCTATAGTTTGCCTGCAAGTTTTGTCTCTTTTTTTTTTTTTGACCCTTTTTCATTTTCACTATATTCCTCCTGTAAGTGAAACCATCTGATTTTTTTTTTCCTTCTGACTTATTTCACTGAGCATAATCCCTTCTAGCTCCATCCAGGTGGTTGGGAAAATGGGCCTCACTGGTGGCACAAGGGGTTAAGCATAGCACTATGGAGCAATCCGCATTCTCTGGAGCTGGAGTTCAATCCCTGGCCAGCCAGGGAGCTACCCACATGGCGCAGCAGACCTCTCCTGTCTTGCCTGCTGCTCCCCTCAGCAGTGTATTTCAGTCTGCCTATTCTGTTCCCCACCATCTCTGGTGAATCCTCTCACCCCTGCACCTCTGGCCTTTACCCCAGTTCTTGTATGCATAAAAAAATAAGTCTATAAAAAAAAAACATGTTGCAAATTGCATGACTTTATCTTTTTGATTGATTGTTGAATAGTATTCCATTGTGCATATATACCACATTTTCTTAATCCAGTCACGTGGTTTTGGGCATTTAGGTTGTTTCCATATCTTATAGTTTACCATTGTAATTGAAGTTGAGCATAACTGATTATGTAATTTGCAGCTACTGAAGTTTAATTTCATTGAAATCATCATGATGGGTCATTGTGAGGAAGAAAATAAGTGTGAATAAAACCAAGTGCTTAGTCCTATGCTAAATTTTTACAGCAAGTGTGAAACCTCTTGATTCACCATTACTTCCTAAAACATTGTATGCATCACAAACATAGAAATTTTTTTATTACAAAATCCCTGGGAGTGGGGGGAAGCACAAACAAAACAAAATATGGGGACCCTGGAGGAAGCTCCCTGTTCAATCCACAGGGCTATCACAGACCCTGGAGTTGAAGTGAACATTTAAAGGAGTGGCCCCCCCACATTTACATCAGGTAAGGGTCCCAACAGGAAAGTTTGAGGAAATGAGAGATACAACTGAAAGGCTTAGTCACTGGGGTCATTCCAAGAAACTGTTGAGCCCTTTAAGTGCATGGTCTTTCCCACCAACCTCACCTACAGTTGCCGCTCGTTCTGCTAGTGCCCTTAGCTCAGTGCATGAGCTTAGCTCAGTCACTGATGTTTTAAGATCCTGGTTCCAAAAACAGACACATGGACCAATGGAACCAAATAGAAAACCCAGAAATAAAACCACAGATCTATGGTCAACTTATCTTTGACAAAGGAGTGAAGAATATGCACTGGAGCAAAGAAAGTTTGTTCAATACATTTTTGCACCCAACACTAATGATAAAGGACTGATCACAAAAATCTGCAAAGAGCTGATGAGACTCAACAACAACAAAGAAAATAATCCAGTCAAAAAATGGGCAGAAGAGCTAAAAAGAAACTTCTCTGAAGAGGAAATGCAAATGGCCAACAGGCATATGAAAAAATGTTCAACATCACTTGCAATCAGGGAAATGCAAATCAAAACTACCATGAGATACCATCTTACACCAGTGAGAATGGCACATATTAAAAAAACTAGCAACAACGAATGTTGGCGAGGATGTGGAGAAAAAGGAACTCTTGTGCACTGTTGGTGGGAGTGCAAACTGGTCCAACCACTATGGAGAGCTGTGTGGAGATTTCTGGACCTACTAAACATAGAGCTTCCATATGATCCAGCAATTCCACTCCTAGGTATTTACCCAAAGGACACAGAAACATCAATTCCAAAGAGCACCTGCACTCCTATGTTTATAGCAGTACTGTTTACAATAGCTAAGCTTTGGAAACAACCCAAATGCCCAAAAATAGATGACTGGATCAAGAAGATGTGGTCCATATACACCATGGAATATTACTCAGCATTCAAAAAAGATAAACACATGCAATTTGCAGCAACATGGATGGCGCTGGAAGGGATCATGCTCAGCGAAATAAGCCAGAAAGAAAAAGAAAAATACCGGATGGTCTCACTCATAGCAGGAATCTAGAAAACTTAAAGAAGGGACCAGGAAAATGAATATAAGAAAGTGAAATCAAAATCAACAAAAAACTATGAACCAGAGACACTTTTTGGGGGTGGGGGGCGGGAGGGGAAGGATTGGGGTCAGAATGGGGCGTTTGCAATTGTATGGGGGAATATAAAAATAAAAAATAAATAAATAAATAAATAAAAAAAAAAGAAAAAAAAAAGAAAGTTTGTTCAATAAATGGTGCTGGGAAAACTGGGTCACTACATGCAAAAGAATGAAGCTTGACTACTACCTCACACCATGCACAAAAACCAACTCAAAATGGATTAAAGAACTAGACATAAGACCTGAAACCATAAAATATATAGAAGGAAACATAGGCGAAACACTACATGATATGCACCTCAAAGACATCTTTACAGACACATCACCCAAAGCAGTGATAGTGAAGGCAAAGATCAACAGCTGGGACTACATCAAATTAAAGAGCTTCTGCACAGCAAAAGAGACAATAACCAAAACAAAGAGAAACCCTACCAACTGAGAGAAAATTTTTGCACACAACACTAATGATAATGGACTGATGACAAAAATCTACAAAGAGCTGATGAGACTCAACAAAAACAAAGAAAATAATCCAGTCAAAAAATGGGCAGAAGAGCTAAAAAGAAACTTCTCCAAAGAGGAAATACAAATGGCCAACAGGCATATGAAAAAATGTTCAACATCACTTGCAATCAGGGAAATGCAAATCAAAACTACCATGAGATACCATCTTACACCAGTGAGAATGGCACATATTAAAAAAACTAGCAACAACGAATGTTGGCGAGGATGTGGAGAGAGAGGAACTCTCCTGCACTGCTGGTGGGAGTGCAAACTTGTCCAACCACTATGGAAAGCCGTGTGGAGATTCCTCAACCTACTAAAGATAGAGCTTCCATATGATCCAGCAACTCCACTCCTAGGTATTTACCCAAAGGACAGAAACATTAATTCCAAAGAGCACCTGCACCCTCATGTTTATAGCAGCAAAATTTACAATAGTTAAGCTTTGGAAACAACCCAAATGCCCAAAAATAGATGACTGGATCAAGAAGATGTGGTACATATACACCATGGAATATTACTCGGCATTCAAAAAAGATAAACACATGCAATTTGCAGCAATATGGATGGAGCTGGAAGGGATCATGCTCAGCGAAATAAGCCAGAAAGAAAAAGAAAAATACTGGATGGTCTCACTCATAACAGGAATCTAGAAAACCTAAATATGGACCAGGAAAAAGAATAACTATAAGAAAGGAAAAAATCAAAACCAACAAACAACTATGAACCAGAGACATTCTTTGGGGGGCAGGGGAAAAGGAGGGATTGGGGTCAAAATCGGGGTTGCAATTGTATGTGGAATATACAAATAAAAAAAAAAAATCCTGGTTCCAGTCTCCCCTCAGGAATGGAGAGAAGAGTCCAGGTAGGTAGGGATTCCTTCTGAAGGATTCCTGCCTATTCCTCATGTCCTGCCTTCGTGGGTGTGTGAAGCCTCCGCACCTGTACTGAGGTAAGCCCGGGACAGGTACTGGTGGCCATTGAAGGTATGGGAAATCCAGCCAAATATCCTTCCTTATAAAGGTAGACAAATATATCAACATAACAGAATAGAGAATCTAGAAATAGATCCACACATACATGGTCAATTGATTTTTAACAAAGCTACAATGGCAATTCATGGAGAAAGGATAATCTTTTCAACAGGGTGCTGGAACAACTGGATATTCATATACCAAAAAAAAAAGTGAATTTTAATCCATACTTTCACCATTAAACAAAAATTAACTGAAAATGAACCAGAGGTCTAAAGCTAAAGACCAAAAACTATAAAATTTCTAGAAGGGAACAAAGGACATTTTGTGATGAGGCATGGACAAAGTTTTCTCAGATCCAGGACCTAAAGCTTGATCCATGAAAGAAAAAAATTCAATAAATTAGATCTTATCAAAATTTAAATCTTGTTAAGAGGATAAAAGGACCAGCCACAGACCAAGAGGAAATATTTACAAATCACATTCTAGAAGCAGCCAAGTAATCTAGATGCAGACGGTGGATCAGCGGTTGTTCCGGGATGAAAGGAGGAGGAGAGGGAGAAATTACCAAGGGCACAAGGAAACGCTGGGTAGGATGATGACTGTGGGCTTTATCTTGATTGCAGTGATGATTTCAGGAATATATTCATATGTTAAAATGTATCACATGATACAATTTAAATAAGTGAACTTCATTGTGTGTCAATTATATTCTACAAGGCTGCTTTTCAAAATATATTTTGCCTTTCTGTGAGGAGAGTAGAACCCAGGCAGGGTCCTAGGGCCTCCTAGAACCTGGACTTAAAATGCCCAGCTCCCTCCCACTCCCACTCTCCACTGTGGCTACTCACTGCAGGGGTCCGCAGGGAACAGCCCCGTGGCGTTGGCTCCTATAAACTTTTGGAAGGAGGCATCTTCCAGTGCAGATCTTGGGTTCTGTAAAACTGACACCCCATTCCAGGATCAGCTGTGAATCCAGGAGAAGACTTCCCCACTCCCCGTTAGGGTTCCAGAAAGAGGGAAATGGCACCAAGGACCCCTCAGATTTTTCCTCATGGCCTTGACTCTTGGGAGTCTCCCCTGGGACAGTGCTCTCTGTAGGATCCCAGGAAAGCTCTGGTTTGGGCCTGTGGTCGAAGGAACATAGACCTTTTCAGGGACAGAATGTGTGTATCTGAGTCCCTTTGGAAACTTCATGCAGGAAGAAGGGGGGACAGGGGTCTCGGATCACCTAGAAACTTACCTACAGCAAAGAGAACCACAAGACAGAAGGCGAGGGTCACAGTCATAAGTGCCAGGGCAGCCAGAACAAGCCTTGGCATCTTGGGGGTTGAGGGGGGCTTGGCCTCCGAGTCCATCCCTGCAGGCGAGAAGCCAGTGTCCAGGAGGGTGCTCTGTGCAGCTGGACGCCTCAGTCTCTCAGGCTGTCTCCTAGCCTGTCTGATTTGCATCCCTAGCCTGGGGTACAAATACCTGCCACACTTAGCATGAGAAGGGAAATGAAGCACTTTGATATGCTCACCAAAGCTAATTTGGGGTCTGGAATCGACACAAAGGCTATGTAAGAGAAGATCACCCCTCAGATCTGGAGGAGGTGCATGGAATACAAAACCTGTTGGGAAGAGAGGGGCAACACATTTGTGGTTTAAGGAAAAGGAAAAAGGACAAAGAGAGAGACAGAGTGAACTGGGAGCCCCAGAGAAAGAGTCATGGCTCTTTTAGGCAGCTGCCTTCCCTACACACTGAGTCAGGTCAGTCCCAAGTCTCTCTCTGCTGGGGTGAGAAAAAAGGGGGCTGTGTGTGAGGGCCTAGAGCTGTGGTTCAGGATGAAGTGTGTGCAGAGGAATCCACTCAAAATTGGAGACACCAGCCCTGACGTCTGAGTCTTCACAGGGTCCAGGAGGGGATTTTGAACCAGGCACCTCTGAATCCAAAGTTCATCCTCTTTCTCTTGCCAGGTTGCCATCCCCATGATAAAAGGTCTGGGGAGATTTCGTATGGTGAACAGGGGACTTGGTGATGAACTTGAGCCCTAGCCTGCCAAGGAGGGGAAAATGGCAAGAGATGGGGGACAAAAAGAGCTGGGGTCCAAGTTTTCTCACCTTGGGGATGCAGGGAGACCATCTGGTTGTCTCTGCAGAAGTGGGCCTTGTCACTATTCATCTCAGCTTCCTTGGTCCACTAATGTTGCCCCTTGCCACGTCGTCCAGTGGTAGGAAGTGAAGTGACAAACCCGACTTATATGCTCCGCAGTAGTTCCTGACTTCCCAAGCTCTACCTCCCTCCCCTGCTGACTCTACAGAAGCACCCCAATGGGCCCCTCCCCTCGGTACTTCCAGGCACCAGTCTGCTGGGCTCTATCCTCTCAGACTCTATCCCGTCCCTCTTTCCTCTTTCCACCAGCACCTGCCCCTTGTCTTGCCCATGGGCCCACCATCCCAATCTCCACACACCAGCATAGCCCCCAAACACCAGCTTCCTCCTCAAAGTCCCAAACACATTTTCCCCTGGTCACTAGGTGGAGTCGTGTTCTTTCTCAGTTTAGCAGGAAAAAAATTTTTTGTGACCATAGCTGACTCTGATTCTTAGCCCCAGAACATCTGAAACAAAAAGAAGCAGGTAAGGGTGAGAGGGGAAACGGGGTTGGCATCACTGGTATATGCAGGGCACAGGAAGGCCTGGGGTAACTCACTGCCCACTTGGGGGTCTCCCAACTGTCATAATTGGAAAAGGTCTGTGATAGAATTAAAAAAATCTAGTTGTTCTTTGTCCCAATTCTTAGAGTTCCTAAAACCCTTGGAATTTCCTGGGTGATAGGAGTGGCTTTGGTTATTCATCATGAGCCCCTTTTGAGTTTATGCTAATGAGGGGCAGAGAGTGGACCCCTAGTGGCTTCAGGAAGAGGGCTGGACCCAGAGAGACCAAATGTCCACTCCAAACCCTCTGGAAAGAGAAGGGGGCCTGGAGATTGGATTCTAAAAAATTTCAAGAAGCTTCCTGGTTGAGAAATGCATCCATAGGCCCGGAAGGTGTTGTACCCCAACTTCACAGATGCTCTTGTGCTCCCTTCTTGATCTCTGTGTACCTCTCCATCTGGCTATTCATTTATATCCTTTCCCAGAAACTGTAATGGTGAGCACAGTGCCTTCCCGAGTTCTGTGAGTGACCCTACTATCAAACAGGAGGGGGGTCATGGGAAACCCCAAACTTGCAGGTGATTGGGCACAAGTGTAGGTTGTCTGGAGGTTCCACTTGCAGCTAGTGAGTGAGGTGGGCATGGCCTTGTGAGACTGAGCCTATAACCTGTGGTGCTGTGCTAACTCTGGGAGTTAATGTCAGAATTGAATTAAATTGTAATGTCAGAGAATTGGTTCATAACTTGGTGCCAGAAGTGGTGTCAGAAAACACCAAATAGGACCCAACTTGACCCAAATTCTCACCTCTCACTGATTGCATCCATGCTCCTCTGAGTTGATTAGGTTTGGAACTAAAGCAAAGAAGCTGACAGATAAGCCAGGGATGATGTTCTGCTTCTTAGTGAGACTTGTAATGTGCAGGAAGAGCAAGCCCTCATTCTTGCTGCTCATAAGCCAGGACTTCAGACTGGAAAGTGAGGGATTCCAGGCGACAGTGTCATGAGGTCCCCATCCCATGCAGGAATAACCTTACCTCAAACCGATTGTGTTATCACCAAAATGGATCACATTTTCTTTAAATCTGAAAATCAAATTACATATATGTCTCTAGATCACCAGCAACCCATTCACAAGATGTCAGTTACAACCTGGTGGATGCCTTCTTCCATCCACGTGGTGTTGGTTTTTCCTATCTTCACTCAGTTCCTATATACTGTTCCTAAGGTTTTTCCCCAAATACTGGAGTCAGCCTCCCTTGGGCCCCAGGGCACTACACAAGAAGACTGCGCCCCAACTCCGCTGGAGAAGCCAGACTGGAAGCATCTCCACGGCAGGGCCGGGACCCATTCCATGGACGGCCACTATTAACGCAGCCAACAACTAGCCTGGCGCATGGCAGGCCTGCAGAGTGAGGAAGAGTGGTCACCTGCACCAGTTCTTGATAACGGGGCACTGTGCACTTGTGCATGTGCATGTGTGTGGTGCAAACCCATCATCCATTGGCCTTTTACCTCCCGTCTGTTGAAAGCTGACTGAGAGAAAAGACACCGAAGGAATGTGAAGGTCGCTGTTTCTGGAGTGATCAACAGCTCTGCCTGAGCCCCCAGCAGAACCTGCAAGCCCCTTCCCCTCCGTGTGGGAGAGGAGTGCCTGGAGGTATCTCCCCAGAGGCTCATAAGAAGTGCAGGGGTGGTGACAGAAAAGAGAGGCCTTGGATTTTATTTCCCACACCCAGGAAGGGCAGGCAGCCCACCCAGGGCCTGTTTCCACCTAATGTCTGGGAAGTTGAACTTCTCAAAAGCAGAACTTTGGAGACTCCTTGACCAGCAGGAAGAGTGGGGTCCCGGCCAGAAGAGGGGCATATTCCTCCAGCCTGGCAGGCTCAGAGTTATGATTGGCCCCTCTTCCTGGTACCCACTGCCCTCTCCTTCTGGGGCTCCCTTTTCTTCTTTAGCCCCTAAGAACACCATTTTCCCCCAAGGAAAAAAGACACCAGGAGGTTGCTACACCTTTGCCAAAAAGTTTTTATATATATGTGGTCAGAAAGAAAAATCAAATGGACACTTATACATTTCTTCAAGAGCCACTCATTGGCTGGAAACTCTCACTGCAGGTTCTTCTTGCCCTGCTGCAGGGTAGGGGCTGTGCCCCTAGAGAGCCTTGAATTTAGCTACTGCAGACCCCTAGGTGCAGACACCCCAGAAGTGTGTTGTCATTCATATCATCTTCTCACAACACAGCATCATCATCAATTGTCTTCCAGGGAATGGCTCGATCCAACAATTTTGATGGAAAGGAGAGACCCACAGCCTACAAGCAGGGGCCCCGAGCATCTGAGAGCAAACAGTCTCTCTCAGGCCTCTCACCTGGGATTTGTCTTGATGACCAGTCCTCCCCTCATGCTCTGTCTGCCTGGTAGGGGTGAGGATGAACCCATACCCAATCCCCAACCCTAGGATTGAACTAGTGGCTTGAACATAACCCATCCCCCAAACACCATTCTGTTTTAGGAACAAGCATGTGACCCAATGCCGGCTTTTTCCTGGGACTGTTGGAAAAGGAAGCTCTTTCCTCTAAAGTTGCAGAGCTGTGAGTTTGCGGGCTTGGAGCTACCCAGATCACCACTGGGAAGAGTCCACCTAACAGTAATGCCAAACCAGAGGCCTGCAGTGCCAGGGCTGGAGAGAGGCAGCTTTGGTGCCTGATGCAGGATTTGTACTCAGACATACAAAGTGTTCTGGCTTCACACCTACACCAAATCCAACAATACCAACAACAATCCTTCACATCACAAACTTCAATACAAGCCACCATGCACTCAGCTTTAGCTCAATTAGTCTTCTGACTGTTTTCTCTGCTTCTTGTCTTATTCCCCTCAAAACCCATCATACTGCACGCATAATGACATTTTCAAAAAACAATTAGGTAGACACACATGCATTACCTAGCTTTTCTAGCTGAAAAGAACCAATAACATCCCAATAGCTGCAGTCACATTTGGTCCCCAGATCCTGATTTCTAATACAATTCACCAACAGAGGAAACCAGGGCTCTTTGAAGAAATAGGTAACTCTAGGGTTGGGGCAAGAAATATATAAAGTGAACCTGGGGCATTTTATAGTGCCAGAAAGTAAGCAGATGCTCAACAAACAAAGGACACAAGAGTAAATCAACTGAAAGAGTCCCCAATGGCCAGAGCTGGAACAACATACACAAGAAAATAAAGCAACACTGGGTCATGACCCAAAGTATAAAACCCATGAATCCATTAGTGTGGGCTGTACACTTGGCTGCTCTGCTCTGAATAGTCATGTCCCTCCCCCTCCCCAATTTATGCGTTGAAATTCCAAGCCCTAAGGTGATGGTGCTAGGGGGCCTATCTTTGGGAAGTGATTAGGTCATGAAGGGGGACCTCATGGGATTAGTGCACTTATCAAAGAGACCCTGGACAGCTCACTTGCCCCTTCTGCATGTGAAGATGTAACAAGGACTATGACACCTATAAATGGGTCCTTCCCCCACTACGCTAACACCCTTATCTTGGACTTCAAGCTTCCATAACTCTGAGAAATAACTTTCTGTTGTTTATTAGCTACTCTATCTGTGGTATGTTGTTATAGCAGTCCAAACAGACTAAGACAATGGTTTCCTTCCAAAAAATATAATATGGAAAGAGTAACTTTATAGAGATTAAGACTGGCAAACACCATCTCCGAATAGAGATCAATGTCAACATCAGTGGTGATGAGACACTGATCGTACATGCCCACCTTATCTCTGAGGTCATCCTCCCAACACCTATTACCCAGTATGATGAAAAACATCAGACAAACCCAAATTGAGAAGAATCCTACAAAATACCAGCACGTCTCAAAACTGGCAAGGTCATCAAAAACAAGGGAAGTTTGGGGCCTCCCTGGTGGCACAAGGGGTTAAGCACAGTGCTATGAGGCTGTCCACAGCCTCTGCAGCGCGAGTTCGATCCCTGGCTGGCCAGGGAGCAACCCACATTGTGCAGCAGACCTCTCCTGCCTCGCCCGCTGCTCCCCTCAGCAGTGTATTTCAGTCAGTCTGCTGTTCTGTTCCCAGCTCTGTCTCTGGTGAATCCTCTCACCCTCCTGCACATCTGGCCTATACCCCAGCTCTTGTATGCATAAATAAATAAATATTTTTTTAAAAAAAAGGGAAGTCTGAGAAACCTCATAGCCAAGAGGAACCCCAGGAGACATCATGACTAAATGTAATATGAGACCCTCGATAAAACTCCAGAAAAGAAAAAGGATATTAAGGGAAAACTAAGGAAATCTGAATAAAGTATAGAGTTTAGTTAGTAATAATATGTCAACATTGTTAGTAATAATGTGTCAATATTGTCAGTTATGACAAATGTAAGATGTTAATAAGATCTTAATAAGATGTTAAGATCTGGGTGTTGCCTCAAATTCACGCTTACAGAGGAAGTGTGAACTTCTAAACCCTCTTCACCCTCCCCTCCCATTTTAACCCAAGGTCTCCATTCCATCCCAGGTGCCTTGATGGAGCCAATGAGTCCCCAGCCAAGGCAGATGGACAGCAGGATGCCTTAGAGACCATTTTAAAGCAAGGAAGACTAAGGTGCAAAGCCACTCTGAAGCATGGAGGGAAGAACGGCATGTCCTTGAACTTGACAAGAATTGGAGCTCCATGTGCAATTCTGAGGGCCTGTCCCATCACAGTTCTGATGGGACGTAGGGCCTTTTACAGATGAAAAGGAGCTTTGAGTCACAGGAGGCATCATTCCATGACTGAAGCGAATACAAAGTTATATGTACACAGTGCTCGTTGTTCTCAGCATTGTTGGGCTCACCTGGAATCCAGTATCTACCGAGGGGGGAAAACAAAGAAAAACTTCTTTCCCAAAAAGAAAAGGGTGACTGTTATCCCAGCTGTGGTCCTAGTGCAGTGTGCCTAGTGCACCTACTGTAGGTGCTACAAGTTTATCACCCATGCCTGAGGACAAGGGGATTAGTGAGCCATCAGCCTCTACACCTGCAGTCAACCCCTGCCCCGAGTTAGCATCAAACCCACCCACCACTCTCAAGGCCCTACACAAACCACCCTGAAAACACCAAGACTTAGAATAGGGCCCCTGCTGAAGCTAGCCCTGGAAGGCCAAGCAGGAAAACTTGACACCACCACTGAGAGCCCAGGGCTCTGTCCTGATCCCAAGGCCAACTAGTGGCGGAAGCGAGCTAGGTCTCTAATCAGGGCTCTAACCCTATAGTCATGCGGAGCTATCACCCCATCCCTCCTGTCCTCCCTGACCCGGGAAAGCTAGGCTGGGAGAGGGCTCTGGGGCTTACCTCACACTCTGGGCCTTGTTGAATGGAGTGTCATCCACCCAGGTCCAGGCCCCTGTACTTCCTGCTTTGGTCAGGCCGATCCAGTAGAAAACCCCCCCTGCTGTCTTATATAGAAACTCCTGTGGGGAAGGAGTAGAGGCATTGCTGGGTTGGACCATCTGTCTCAAATGACAGCCCCTAAGCCCAGACACCCCTCACACATGGCTCCTCTCAAGCCTCTTCCTATCCCTGGCCTGAACCCAGAGTCATTTTCCAGATTCTGACTCGCAACTAACACTCAGCAGTCAGCCTCACTTCCCCCACGATCCTGTGCTGCTAACTCACCTCCCCAATGAAAGGGGCTTGTTCAATCAACACGCTGTCTCACTAAGGAGATGTCTTGGTTATGCAGTTAATTATTCACAAATACTTCTGTTTTCCGAGCACTTGGAAAGATCCTACCTGCCACCCCTCTTTGAACCCAGGAGTACTGCATAATTTACTTTGGCCAGTGAAATGTAAGCAGAAATGATGTCTATTATTTCTGGACAGAAGCTTTAAAAGCCAACACATAATTTTCCACGTTCCCTTTTCCGACCTCAGTGATGGTGAGGTCTATGTGGACATGAAGGCTCCTTCAGCCTCGGTCCCTGAGTAAACACAATGAGCAGCGCCTCTCACAAGTTCTCTCTGGACATGTAGTGTGGGAAGCAAGCCTTCGTTGTTAGGCCACTGATATCTGGGGATTTTTGTTACTGTGCATAATCATGTCCATGCTGCTTGACACAGCCACCAACACGCCACCTTCCTAGACCCCACGGGACCAGCACTCACCTGCTCACTGTCTGAGGTCACTGAGGTCAGGTGTGAATTCTTGGACACACAGAACTGCTGGGCACTGTACCAGGTCTTGGGAACGTGAGAAAAGTAATAGAAGTTCCCCTGGAAGTACTTCCATCCTTGAGAAACCATCTGTAGAATGTCATCTGAGAACAAGGATGAAAGGGAACACTGGTGTTCCTTGATCTCTGGGTGCTGCTCAAGGGGTCATGAAGTGGGACTTCAGAAACAGGAGTGAATGGGGCTGGTCTCTGTGGGGTCCTGGGGTCCTTGTGCAGGGGACTAGGAACAATTTCCCAGATTCTAACATCTGAATGAGATTAGTAGAGTCTTGGGACTCAGAGAGGGGGCAAATGACAGAGGATGGATCAAGAATCTCTGGGCCTCCCCTGGTGGCGCAGCGGTTGAGCACTGGGCTGTGAAGCTGCCCGCTGCCTCGGCAGCACCGGTTCGATCCCCGGCTGCTCCCCGGCCACCTGAGGAGGGTCCCACATGGTGCGCAGACCTCTCCTGCCGCCCGCTGCTCCCCTCAGCAGTGTACTTCGGTCCTTCTGCCTGCTCTGCTCCCCGCTCTGTCTCTGGTGAATCCTCTCACCCTCCCGCGCTTCTGACTGTACCCAGTGCTTGTATAAATAAATAAATAAATATTAAAAAAAAATAAAAAATAAAATCTTAAAAAAAAAAAAAAAGAATCTGCTCTCCCATGAGGAAGAAGTGATTCCCCATTGGCCATTATAGTGGCTGAACCCCTGAGATCTAGGGGAGGAACTTAATGGAAAATGTCAGGGTTTGGGCCATGACAGACAAACTCCTAATGCTTTCATATACTGTCCCTTGGTGTGGGGTCCAAACTGGCCCCTGATCCCTTCTCTCCTGAAAGCCCCTATGTTCTCAATATAGTGAGTCCTCTCTTCTTAAATTTCCATCCTCGCCTGCCTTGCACCTCTCCCCTCTTCCCTCTGCACACACCAGCCCAATAGCCTAGTGCCTGAGAATGGCAAGGTCCCATGGGTCACTGGTAACCTGGCTCCAATCTTTTCTGAGTCACTTACTTTGCCGTTTGAGCAACTTGCCAAGATTATCCAAACTGCTCTGGAGGCCCCGGACTTTTACATTCAAAGCACTGGCTTTGTCCAAATCTCTTCTTAAGTCTGGGATTTTGGCATCCAAATTTCCAACTTCCTCCCAGCTGCTTCTTAATATCTGGATCTGCGTATTGGCTTCCACCATGCCAGTTTCCAACCTCAGGATCTTGGAATGCAACTGATCCAGGCTGGCATTAACCCTCCAGACTTGAACACCAGTCGCCTCCACACTGCCTCTGTTCTTCTTAATTTCAGAATCCAGAGTGCTGATATTGTCCACACAACCTTTCAGTAACTGGGCGTTGGTCTTTACATCTGACATTGTGCCCATAAACCAGGGATCTGGATTTGAGAAAGTCAAGAGGTCAACAAAGCACATCCGCAGAGACTGGAGGGAGGGTGTGTCAGCTGATAAAAGGAAGGAAGGGATAAGCTCAAGATTTCCAAGAACCCAACCCAAGGAACTCTCACCTACCCTCCATTCATTCATAATGCATTCATTCGACAAATGGGATGGGCATCTGCCATGTGTCAAGAACTCTGGGAGATGCAGGTAATGCTAAAACATAGGCTCTCTGTTAGAGGACCTCCAGGCAAGCAAAAGCAGGAATTAGAACCCACTTCTAAATTTTCCTTGATTTTTGAGGGCACATTTGGCAAAAGGATGCCTGTGATTATGCCCCCGTCACCCTTCCATATCCTTCTGGGCCTCATCGCTGACTCCCAGTCCTCTCCTTTCAGAGACCCTTCCCTGCAGTGGCACCAACTAGGACAGCACATCCCCTCCCACGTCTGTCCACAGGCTCCTCATGGCAACCGGAGGGGCCAGTCATGCAGACTTCTAATCTGGAAGTGACTTCTCCAGAGCCTATGGAAAGAGAGAATCATAAAACCATTTCTGCCCTCCCCTCATCCCACCCACTGTCACACTCTACTCAGGTCAGACTTGGGTACCCTAGAGGAGACCAAAGATAAACCTGAAGACATGGTGGAAGGAAGAAGTCTCTGCCAGCAGCCAGGGGCTTGCAAAGCCAGGAGAGAAAGAGAGATGAGTCACACATCCAGCAACTAGCAGAGAGGCTCCTTGACAGGAAAAGGTGAATAAAGAGAGCGTGAAGGGCCCTGGGTAGGGGATGAGCCATGGAGCTCTGTAAGCTGATGGGTCCAGTTCTTCAGTTAGTCACTTGGAACAGAAGCTACAGTGGGTCTGTACCTCAGAAGGGTCAGGAAACATCTCACTCACAGTTTGCCCACAGGCTCTGCGTGGAGGGACACAAGCTCAGGTGGGGAGGGGTATAGATGAAGAAAGAGATGAACATTTCCTGGGAACAAAATAATATCCCTGAGGCAAGTATGCAAGTGCGGATCCCAGTCAGGAAAATCTCCAGGAAAGGGGGTGGGGGGAACCTGAGCACTTACAGAGAACAGCCTGCAGCAGGACGGAAGCAGCCAGGATCAGGGTCAAGAAGATGACTGCTGTGCGGACCGTGGGGCACTTCCTTAGAACCAGAGGTGGATCCTTCTTGGGAGGAGGCTCTACAAGGAGAAGAGAACATTTGTTGAAGGACCAGCAAACAGAGGTTCTGGGCACAGAGCCCTGAGTAGGCCTGAGCGCAGTTAGCACTTGCCTTGAGGCCAGAGGGCGATGTTCTGTTTGTCTACAGTGAAGTGTGCATCGACGACCTGGCTCTCTGCAGCCATCATCCTTCAAGATCACCCTTGCAGCCCAGGTGCTCCTGGCTGATGTCTCCCCAAGGCCCTTTTATCTAGAGGAAATGGGAAGCGAGTCCCATAGAAAGTCAGCTCATCATCCCCAAGTTCCCCATTCCCGGCTTGGACACCAGTCTGGCCCTGGCCACAGCTTGAGTGATTTGAGCCTCTCCTCAAAGGTCTGAGCTTTCAGGAAGAAACAAACCACTTGTCTTCTTGTGGAGGGAGGGGAGTGCTGCTATAGGGACTAGGCTATCCTTTTTCTCTTGTAAGATTCCTCATCCATCACCCATCCATCCATTCATCCCACAAATACATACTGAGTGTCTTCTAGGTACCAGACATCATGCCAGGACTGGCCACAAAGATGAAAAACTTACTCATAATCTGGGAGAAAATAAGACCTAAGTACAATGATAGAAGATCACGCAGAGTTCAAAACAAGTACAGAAAATAGGATAAGGATTAAAAAAAAAGGTTTCAGGTAGCGGAATTAGCATATTCAAAAATATGGGGTGGGCCTCCCCGGTGGCGCAGCGGTTGAGCGCTGGGTTGCGAAGCTGCCCGCGGCCTCTGCGGCGCCGGTTCGATCCCCGGCTGCTCCCAGGCCACCGGAGGAGGGTCCCACATGGCGCGCAGACCTCTCCTGCCGCCCGCTGCTCCCCTCAGCAGTGTACTTCGGTCCTTCTGCCTTCTCTGCTCCCCGCTCTGGCTCTGGTGAATTCTCTCACCCTCCCGCGCTTCTGACTGTACCCAGTGCATGTATAAACAAAACAAACAAACCAGCAAAACAAATGCATGCAACATGGAAACTAAATGTTTAATGGTGTCGAGTGTAAAATACATGACTGGAGCAGAGAGGGCATGGGGCCAGAGGCACCTGGGCTCAGATCATGAAGATCCTTTTGCATGGGTTAAGGAGCTAGAATTCTGGTCACCAATGACGGATCTCAGGCAGGAGAGAGACAAGGACAGGAACACTGTCGAGGGAGCACTCTGATGATGGTGAAGAGCACAGGGTGTGGAATGCCTGGAAGCAGGGAGATCAGTAAGGAGACCACAGCAATAAAATATTCTTTCTGTTATGAAGGCATTTTAGATGGTACAGTATCTCTTTACAAAATGGAAAGATTAAAATGAAATGTAAGACCTGGGTTTTCCTCCCTGCTTCCTGCACTTGAGTTTCTCAGACATCATGGGAAGGCTCAGTAACATCGGGCCAGGAACCAGGCAGTCACATGTGGGAGGTGTGCAAAGCAGAGAGGATGGGACTGAAGCTCAACGAGAGACTAAGTTTTCTACCGGGAAGCTTCTTATGTCTTGAAGAAGTCTGCTAAATCTTGTATATAGCGATTTTGAAAAATATTTTTGGAAGACAGGAAAGAGAGAGGCGGGGGAGAAAGGGAGAAAAGGAGGGAAAGAGAAAATGAAGGAAGTTGGTCCAGATAATCAGATGAGTGGCTGGATGAATGGATGGATGGATGGATGGGTAATGACTGGATGGGTGTGTGGGTGGATGACTATCGATAGAAGATAAATAAATGGAAAAGTTGACAACTAATTATTACTCAACTGCAACTCAGTCTGTGGCACAACTGAAACCCATAATCTGTGCACCTGAATTTGCCTTCCGGCGTTACCACCCCAGCAGTTCTCATCCATTCCTACAGCGAAGACATGAAAGAAGCATGACTTACATCTTACTCCAAAGTGCCTAAAAGCTCCAGCACAGGCCTAGAAAGCAGGTCCCGACTCATGAATCTGAGACACAGGGCAAGTTAGGGTAATTAGGCAGTTTTAGCAACATTGCAGGAAGGGACCTCTGAAGAGTTTAGGAAGGCTTCAGAGATAAGGACAACTAGAAGAATGTAACTAATTCCACCGGGAATAATAAACATCCCAGGACCAAGAACAACATTGTTAACGCTGGCCTTGGTTTCCTTCAGGTGATAAAGGGAGGTGGAGTTTGGGGAAACGGAGAGTGGTTTAATTAGGGCAGCAGACTCATGTCTGGTAGACCACTGTCCTCTCCTTTGTCAGAGTGCAGGGATATTTATGCAAGAAGGAGATGAGAAGGGGTCGCCACTAAGACCGATGGGTGGCAGCCTGTTTTTCTTCAATAGCTGATGTTTAACTTTCTCTTCCCTAAAATGCAGGGGTGCTTATCTGGGAGACGGGGCCAAAAAGATAAATCTATCAAACAAGGGGGACGATGCAACAAATGGGGAAAGACAAACCTGTTAGATAAGGAATGTAAAGATCCCCAGCTCAGTAGCAGATTAAGCGAGACAACTGAGAACTAACCAATCACAAAGAGACTGGTGGAGCTTTAGAATAATGAGGGAAAGAAGGTGTATATTCCCTGAGACACGACTCCACTTTGGCTTCCTTGCCCCTCCCTGGCCTGGTTTCATGGCCTGGGAGTCTCACTTTATTTCTGTTCCTTTTCTCCTCAATAAACTTCTTCTTTCTTTAAGCAAACCTGCCTCTTCTCGCTTGCTTGCCTGAGAGTCTGCGAAGTTCCTGCTGCAGCTTCGTGAGACACCAACCCATGGTGGTCTAGTGGCTGGGACTCAGCGCTGCCCCTGCAGCCTGGGATCTGTTCCTGGCTGGGAGACTAGGCCTGACAATTCCAGTATCAAATCTGAACCAGCGGAGCTGGATACCAGGGTGGCGTCAAGGACCAGGGTTGAGTTAAACAAACAAGCCCAAGGGAACAGCTGCCTGTATTGAGAAGGTTTCCACTGCCTTCAATGTTTGAGAGAATCCAAAGTCACCACTCAGCCCGATCCTGTTTGGTCAACACATGGTACTTATAGGCCACTGTGGCTCTCTCCAGACTGACTAAGCCTCCAACTAGGCCTCTGACTAAGTAGGGACCCCAGAGAGCCCACCACACATACTTCCCAAGGATGATGTCCCACTCATCCTGGTTCTTCTCCTCCCTTCCACTTTCTGTCCATAGCTTCCAGGCCTGCTGTCTGTTCTAACCTTAGATATTAGGTAATCCCACACACTGAATGCCTCACTCTAACTCACTGCCTTTCTCTGACATTCATGACCATCCCTGCTCTCTTCAGGCTAGTCATCTAGTTGCAGAGTCTTGGTTCTATCAGGGCGGAAGAGGGCAGAAAGCTCTGCTTTTGGACTGAAGGCCCAGGTCTCCTCAGCCCTTCAGCTCTGTCTCCTGGCCCTACATACAAAACCTGTCACAGTCCAGGGCCCAGGGTTGGAGAGGATCCAAGTTACTCAGACCCTGGTTGGGGAGCCCTAGAGAATGCTGGTCTCCTCCTGAGGCATTTGGAGAGAGAAGCTACCACAAAATGCAACTTAAGAGCATCTGGCCCCTTCCCTCTGTCAAAAGTTGGCTTTTCCAAATCTCTGCTGACTTGTAGCATAAGTTATTGATGGATCATTCCCATGCCCTCCAGGTCCTCCCAGAAAAAGATGCAGAAGTCTCACCAAGATGGGGCCTACTTCATAAGAAGGGACTAGGGATGGGGAACATTTGCTCTGCTTGGTGGAAGCCATAGCTATTCTTTTGGTAGATAGAATATGCAGGTAGATATTCTATTGATTGCTAGCCAAAAGACTGACTCAGCCCAAGAAGACTGAGCAAGAAGCCACCAGAACGCTGGGCACACCCTCTGTGGTTCAGAGAAGGCGTGTATGAAGGTGGATGTGAAAGTCCCAGCCTTGAGGAGTTTCATTTCGCAGTTTGTGGGGAAGGAGCTTTCGCAATTTGTGGGGAAGGAGCAAGTCACAAGCTACCTCCCTGTGGCCATGTTCACCTGCAGGCACCGGCTGAGCACCTGCCCCACACCTCCCTCTCTGGGGACTCTATGGGCCCCTGGCTGCAGTCCAAGTGGAGGAAAGACAGAGGAGGTGCAGGTGCCTCCACCTCGCTTTCAGCCAGGCCAGTGGGCAGTTCTGGACACTCAGGTGATCCCTGCTCTTCTAAAGAGAGGAGGAACTCCGGGCCTAAGAGTAACCCAAAATCATGGCTGTGTTGAAAGAAGGGGAAGTTCATTCTCAAATTTCTGTTTTCTCACTCACCATGTTTCTGGGCTTCTAAAACCTTCCCTGCATAAAGGTAGAGGAGGGAAAAGATGAACCACTTTCCCCCTTCTCTGGCTGGGACCCTCTTGTGCTTAGAGGATGGCCACAGGCACCCTCAGTGAGAGCAGAAAAGGGACTGGGTTGTCAAGGCATAGGAATCTGAATGGCTCCAGTCAGGGCCCCGAGGACAGCAGAGAGGACTCCAAAGTAGGGAGAGGGGGAGTGCATGGAAGGGAGGGATGAGGGGGAGAAAGAAAATGAGCTGAGAAAGGAGACGGCTATTCCAGCTAGTGGTCCACAGGCTCAGAGGGGCTCCTGTAGGCAATGTGATGAGGCTTCCGACAAGCAGACCCCAGATAACCAAGGAATTCCGTGCCTCCCACTGGATGCCAGCCCTGGGGAGAGGGGCTAGAAGGGAAATCGACGAAGGGCTGGGTGGTGGGATGACTCATCCAGCTGGTCTTTCAGAACACCTTTTCCAAGCCAGGAACAAGGAAAAGGATGACAGACCCGGCCCTCAGAAAGTGTCCCCCTGCTGAAAAAAACGGCATCCTCACTTCCAGGGAGAAGGGAAGAGGCTCCAAAACTATAAAGGGTGGAGGGAACGGCAGGGAAGCTCCCTTGATACTGGAACGAGTTCCCTCTTTGGGGACCCTATACAGGGCAGGATTCTCTCAAAGAGTGACAATGGCCAGCCCTGTGTGAACAGGCCGCCATGTCTGGGGCGTCAGTGTGGTGCAGTCAGGTGGCGGCCTGCTCACATGGAAGGGTTGCTGTGCTCCAGGCAGAGGAGGCTGCTCTGAACTGGCCAAGGCAAGGAGCTCTGCCTGTGGCCTTGGAGCAGATTCATGCCAGGAAAGCTTAGACAAGTATCTTTTCAAATCTTTAAATAATATCTTTTTAAATCTTTAAATCTTTATTATATACTAATGGGGAAAATTTCAAGTAGGCCAAAAGAAAAAAATGACCTACCATACAGAAAAAAACACATTTTTTC